GTAGATTAAGGCGGACGGTTGCGGAGGCCTATAGCATCGGGCAGCTCTCCAAAGATGCCCTAGGCGATCAGCTCAGACCCTCCTGCACCCCACTCCTGTCAGACTTCCAACGGAGGGGTCTGGTGGTACACCCCTCTTTCACTGTGAGCATCTAATACTGACAACTCAGCCAACCTAGGCTTCAGAGGTTTTTCAGGATGTGGAAAGACCAAGATGTGTGTGGGGATGAAAGTCAGAGGAAGTGGCTTTCTTATTGCAACAAAAATTCTGTGCCAACGTCAGTAAGAGGACAATGAAAACCACCTTTTATTTTGCCTCCCCATCCTTGGAGTTCCTCATGAAGCATAAAAATATTCAACACATTAAAAGTTTAAATACAAGTTTCACAATGTACTTCCTGAGATTCAATGTATGCAAGCCAGTTTTCACCTGGGGAACTGGGAGGTTTTGGTCCACTTCCTACTTCGCAAGCACAAAATGGAGAGGATGCCTGCGTTATTAGAGACATACCGCAGACATTCTGCACAGAAACCAGAAGTTGTTAGAGGCTCCTGGTTATCGTAAGCCTGAAACCCTAGCTACTCTAAACCCCAGCTACTCTGGAGAAAGGAGGACCCTAAGTTCCAAGCTACAGAGGAAGTTCAAGGCCAACCTGGGAAACTTATAGCACCTCAAAATAAAAACGTGCAAAGGGGATAGGAAACAGTTTTGTGGTAGAATGCTTACCTAGAATATAAGAGGTTGCAGGTCAGTGGTTCTTAACCTACGGGTCACGAAACCCCTTGGATCACATATCTTATGGTTTGCATTAGGATTTCTAACAGTAGCAAAACTGCAGTTGTGAAGTAGCAATGGAATAATTTTATGGTTGGGAGTCAACCACAACGTGAACTGTGTTGAAGGGTCAAAGGAAGCTAGGAAGGTTGAGAACCTTGCCCTAGGTGCAGTCACCAGCACTGGGGTGGGGTGGGGAAGGATATATCAGAAAGCCCCAAGCTCTAGTTGGAGAAACAAAAGTAAGGTTGCAGAAGTTAAGTAAGGATAACGGCAGTGGTTGGCTTCAGATTGTGTGCTCCAGTCTGGGAAAGCCTGCAGGATAATATATAATGGGTAAACTGCTCAAGGCATGCCAAGTGCTCTGGAAGTGGCAACTATTATTTAGATAATAATTCATGCAATAACTCTTTCCTTATTGCTAGCGAGATACCGTGCTAGGCCTCATTCGAGAGACTGCCCCAGCTCTTACAGGAAAAGTGAATTACATACAATTATGATATAATGCAAGGTAATATTGATAGGGAAACTGCCAATGTTGGGATTCAGCATGAGGAAACCTCCAGAACAGACTTAGCAGAATCGAAGGAACTCTGTGACAGTGCCAGGCATGGTGACTCACTGGGACCTGTGTTTTCATCACAGTGATGTGCTCTGTCTTTGTGTCAACATGCATACTGATTATACTAATCTACTTCATTGTACACAGACTTATAGAGAGATTACTGGCAAAAACTTCAAAGTTAAGATAGTTTCATTTCTACCTTGATCCATCCTTCTGTTTTGAAAGCACATATCTGACCTTTTTATTTTTGTAGTAGAGGAAGAGAAGTAGCTTGACTTTAGGGCACTACGAGCAGTGTGTGGCAAAGGTGAGCTGAGACCCAAATACACCATAATACGGAGAATGGATTCAGTTTAAGGCACCATGAGCAACGTGTTGCAAAGATGGGCTAAAAGTCAGATACACCACAATACAGTGAGTGGGTGCAGAAACAAATGATTGATCGCTATCTAAGGCATAATTATATAGTCACCAGTTGTAAATTAAGCAAATACAATAAGAGAAACACCTACTCCAATTTACAGTGCCACAAGTAGCATACCAGTGATGAGCCAGCAAACTGCTTTAGTCTTGGCAAAAGTTGAAATTGTTTTAAGATAGAGTTTAGCATTTTTAACAACACCCCCCCTACCCCCCAAACACTGGAATTTCTGTCTTCTGAAAAGTCAGAAAATCTAGCAACAACAGGCCATGGCCCACTAGGAAATTGTCTAGAAAGTAACTTTCTTTTCTTTTCGTGCCCTGCTTTTTTTCTTTATTATTTTTCTTCTTTCTGTTTGTCATATTGTGAACATGAAGGATGAAGGTTATTTTAGTCAAGGCAAAAACCTGATAATAGAATTTTTTTTCTTTGTAAAAGCAAAGCATGTTCCCATGTACTTAGTATGTGAATAAAGTTGGAAGAACACCGTGTTTTCCCTTGTAGGTGAGTTTGACCTTGACTTACAGCTAAGGAGCAAGGGAGTCCCAGGAGGAAGTTCGAGACCATTTTTCTCAAGGACTAGTGAGGAGGGCAGTGGGAAAGGAGGAAAGAAAGTGTTGTGAGAGAGGCCATCCAGGGGGAGGCCAGAGTGTGGACAGGCTGGGGGAAGGAAGCATTTGCTATGAAGGACAGGAGGTTCCAGGTATTGGGGAAAATGCTTTCAAGCATGCTAATGGTTGGAGAGATCACTGTGGTCCTTAGAATTATCTCCCAGGGTTAAGAAGCAAGTGCAGGGCTTTCCAGTGGGCTATTTTCTGATTCACATAGTCTATCCTATTCTCACTGCTTCTCTGTCTCTCTGTCTCTCTGTCTCTCTGTCTCTCTGTCTCTCTCTCTCTCTCTCTCTCCCCTCCCCTGAGTCTATGCATATGAAGCAGAAGGGGCCTATTTGGAAGAAGAAAGGGGCCATCTGGATCGGGACAGGAGGATGGAGAGGATCAACAAGAGCAAAGAATAATGAAACCCAGCACTTTGGTTTTGTTGTTGTTTTGGCTTTTTGTTTTGTTTTGTTCTTTGGTTTTTGTTTTTTTTTTGAGACCAGGTTTCTTTGTGTGTAGCCCTAAGTGCCCTGGAGCTAGCTTTGTAGACCAGGCTGACCTCAGACTCACAGAGATCCGCCAACCTCTGCCTCCCGAGTTCTGGGTCTAAAGGTGTGCGCTACCACTGCTCAGCAAACCCAGCACTCTGTATGCTAATGAGCAACAATAACAACAACAACAAAAAAACCAACTCAAAAAATGTTGGTTTAAAGTGCATGTATGTTTACCAAAAGATTATACTAGAATATTCCTAAGAGCAATGTCATAGGAACAAAATAACCATTCACATCATCCATTCATGTTACAAAGGAAACAAATTGTGGTTAGCCATGCAGTAAACTGTTGAACAGCAAGTAGACTGGAGCCTCCAAAACTCCACACAGTGATGTGGTTGCATCTCACAGGCTTGAAGAAGGGGCCATGTGTTTGTCCTCTGTTACATGATGTACAAAGGGAGCCAGAATGGGTGTGGCTGGAGGTCGGTGTGTGGCTGTGTGGGCTGGCCCTGGGTAGAATGAGAAGGGCAGAAGGGAATGAATGCATAGAAGAAGGGTTTTGCATTTTGAGGGCTTAACAACTACTTGTGAACAATTCAATTTTCAATACTTAAAAAAAAATCTTTTAAAAAGTTCTTTCTGGTCTTAACATTTCTTCCTGCTTTCACTTTTGTGTTCTTCTCTCTTTCTCTTTCATACCTTGAAACATATCTTGTTAAATGCATTGGATGCTTTTTCTTTACTTTCTACATAGTGGATGGAGCTGATTTCATGATGATCATGATGATGATTCTTTCTGGCTTCCGCAATGTCAAACTCACCTGCTTCCCCTCCTTTCTTACTGGTAGCTCTTTCTCTTTCCTTTCTTCCAATGTTGGCTCTCCTCAGAGCATAGTCTTAAAAGTATGTATAGTTTTTCTGTAGGTGTGACTATATCTAGTCCTGTGGCTTTAAAACATCTATCTATATGTTGAAAATGACAATTTTTATCTTGAGAAAAAGCTCCAAACTTATATATACATCTGCTCATATGACATATGCCCAATATGTAATTCTTAATCCCGGCTGGCCCCTGCCACAAACTTACTTGATGTGTTCTGTCTCAGAGGTGGCTCCTTTTTATGAATGACTCTTGTTACAAAGCCTGTCTCAGAACACTTGATCTTTGTCTTGCCCTTGGCCTCCTCTCTGAGGTACACTCTGTAGTCATTCCCTTTAGCTGCACACTTGCCTTTCACTGTCCTAATTGTGGGATTGGAAGCGTGCGAATCCTATCGAGCCCCCCCCCCCAAGATGGCTGTCTGTTAGGGTCTGTCCACTGGAGCACAGGGTGTGCTGAAAGGGATTTTCAAGACTGCAGAGGGAAGGGCCTTATCTTTTTCCTGTTCTGTTTTTCCCTTTCACAAGACAGGGAGCAGATCAGCCCACAGCTGCCCTTGGTGAGACAGATAGGAAGACTCAGCTTTCCCCAAGTGTTATTTGACTGGGAGTTAAACACTGTTAAATAAATGGCATGGGAGGTCTTTATTGGTAGAAGTTTTTGAATATTCTGTCAGGAATGAGTCATTTGATTTTTTGGTTGACAGTTGTCCAATCGTTTCCCTGTGCCCAGCCACCTTAAGGTTGTAGCCTGTCAAGCAGGAAGACCTTTTTATTTGACAACCATCCAGATGGTCACTATGGCTGCTTAGAACCCCTCATGGATGCCCTGAGAAAAATCTGCACCAGCCATGAAAAATAGTGCCATCAGAAGCCACCACATCTGCTTGAGGGGACTTGCTCCAGTCACAGCTGCTCTGACAACACCTGACAATTGCTAGAGATTCTCTTTGACCATGGTCTTATTGCAGTTGTTCTGAATAGCCCCGCCCATCTTTCCACTATTCTTATTCAGGCCAGTGGAAGAAAACACTTCCCTGGGAACTCAGTAAAAAGGCTGCGATTGGCAGACTGGAAACTGTATATTAAAAGCTTGGATTTGATAGAGCTGGAAGCTGGATACAAGTATATCATGTCCCTTTTCTGGCCAATAAGCCAGATCAGTCTTGGAGGCTTCCCTCCTATATGCTGTCTCTCTTGTAACAGAAGGATTCAACAAAGCCTTCAGAATAGCTCTTTATTGCTGGCTTGCCACCTTTATGGCAGGTGGTTGTACTTAGAGCAGACAGAACCCTGGGGCATTCAGACACTTAGCAGGCACTTGGTATTGTCACTTACAAGGTGGCTGGAGAGTGATGTCAGAGTCTATAGGCTCTCTGTATGTTCTTGGCTTCCTCAGATGCTAGGAAGCCACTGAGAGTTCCAGTGGATAGCTGGGAACTGAGACTGTGAGTGGCTGTATAAGTACTGAAAGGGAAAAAGTCTGAGAAGAGCCGAGAAGGCAGAAGACAAAAGGCAAAGAGCCAAGTGAAGGGATGGTAGACCCCGCACCCCTCCCCCAGTTGCTGGGAAAGTTCGAGAGAGTCACAGAAGATTAAGTGCTGAGGGCCCCAACATCGAAAGCTTGGAGTTAGAATGCTAACTTTTGGGTACAAGATCACTTGCAATTAAAGCCCAGACAGTTAAGTCTCTGACTCGAGTACCGAGAGCTGTAAGTCTCTGGGCAGTAAGCTTCTAGTCTCAAGGCCTACTGCCAAAAGCCTTAGTCTTGGAGCAATAAACCTTAGGCTTCCAAAGCCTAGAGCCACAAGGTTAACAGTTCCTTGTAGTTGCAATTTTGTTATTTCAGTGACTGTGTGGTTTCTGTCTCTTGCCTGGATCCTGACTGACAAAATTCATATAGGAATAGTCTTGTGAGAAACACTCTCTAATATGGACACTTTTCTTGGTTAGGACTGAACCCATTGCTGATAGAAAACATAAGACTAGTAATCCATGGCGTTCAATGGCATCAGAATCAAATGATCACAAATGTCTGATTGTGAGGAAATGACAACTGAGGCCCGTGCTTGGGAGCCCAAACAGTTGCTGCACTTGACCCTGAAGGCAGCAATGGTCATGATAAGTATTGTGGTGTGAGATGGACATTTCTGGGCAGAAAAGAATGTTCACAAACAAAATGAAAAGCTAAGGTCCTTGAATCCTTGGCCTAATCATGAGAGAGCTTCCAGGGGTAGCCTTAACAGAGTCCTAACATGATTTTTTTCCCTCCCACAGATTTGATACTACTAAAAATCAAAGTTTAATTGTCTAACTGCCAGATTACAGCATCATTGGAAATTGCAGCGTGGCCGGTTTTCTCATATGAAAGCTAAGCCTTTGAATCTGGAAGGAGGAACCTCAAACTTAAAATGGGACACAAAGTTGGACTGAACCTGACAACCTTGAACCCCTGAGTTTTCCCTGACAGTGGAGGGAGCTTGTCTTTCTCTGAGGAGCCTGGAGCAGGTATCTCACAAAAAGATGAGGGTGCATACTTTCCTCCAAAGCAATCCCCAAGCCTTCCTGTTTGCACTCTCTACACCATGAGGCTCAAGCTCCAACAAGTGTTGCTCTGGTGCTGAGTTCAGATTCCCGGGTTTGTCTTCCTCAAGGAGTTAAGTTACCTCCCTGTCCTGCAGGGGAGTGTGGGCCAAGACAACCTCACCAAACAGCACACCCCAGATTCTTAAACACAATGGTTTTTGTTTGAGAATATACTTAAGTTTGTCCTGTACTTAATTTAGACAGCTAATGTTAAGTGAGACTCCTAAACAGAAGAATCCATTTTAATGAAACATATATAATCCATGGTGACTGCCATCCAACGTAGGACTTGTCAACATTGTGTCCTTGCATTGCCAATAGCAGGCTAAACACTTGTAGCTTTCTGGCTGCATCACTGGTACTTGAGTGGCTTGAAAGTCTTGGGCAGAAGAAGCAAGGCATTATGCACAGGCAGGCTCTTTATCTCTGAGATTTCTCTCAGTGTTCTGCATGCTGAGTCACTTTTAGCAAATGCCTGGGAGCAAGCTATTACTCTGAGAGGGAGTGTGGGTTTGCCCTAGTTCTTGACTACTGAACTCAAGCACTGTGAACATAAATTTTCTTATTTTGCAGAGGGATGAACAATTAGAGTTGTGTATTTACAGTTGTTATCTGTCAGCAGTACTCCATCCCAACAGTCCTCTGGACAGGTAGAGTTATTTTACAATTAAAAGAATCTTTATTTTTGTAAAAACTTTAACTGGTGGACTGAAAGCTCAGATTTCATTTTTTTTTCTTGTTGGGTTCTACCTTTGTGTACCTGTCTAAGTGTGTAATCGGTTCTCATCAATAATCACCCAGTCTTCATTTGCATCTCATCTTAGTTGAGAGAAAAACCCTGGGTTCTGAAAACCAAACCAAAAGTGCAGGCCTCATGAACACTTGTGGATTTTGCCCTGCTGTGTAACAGGCCCATCCTTTTCAACAGTATCCTTGCAGAAAGATGACTTTGTAGGGTCAGGGTCTGTTTCACAGACAAACATGTTTAGTGGATGATAAACAATGGGAAGTACACACTTCTATTTAAAGGTCTAAGAGGGAATGTCAACGGTATTGACTTCTTACATACAGATAGATTTACTTAATATTTCAGCAGAGTTTCTGAATTATTATTATTATTATTATTATTATTATTATTATTATTATTATTTTGGTTTTTCGAGACAGGGTTTCTCTGTGTAGCTTTGGAGCCTATCCTGGCACTCACTCTGTAGACCAGGCTGGCTTTGAACTCACAGAGATCCACCTGCCTCTGCCTCCAGAGTGATGGGATTAAAGGTGTGCACCACCAACACCCAATGGTATTAAAACTTTTACAAAGCTAAATTATTCATATACTTTATTTACCAGTTCACCTGCCTATCCATCTAATAACCAGTTTGCCCAAGTGTATGAAACACTGGTGTGAGGTTTCACCAAATTTTTAGCTAAATGCTCTTTCTTTTGCCTTTCCTCTCCTTTTAAAACTTGCTTTCCCCTTCCTTCCTTCCTTCCTTCCTTCCTTCCTTCCTTCCTTCCTTCCTTCCTTCCTTCCTCCCTCCCTCCCTTCCTTCCTTCCTTCCTTCCTTCCTTCCTTCCTTCCTTCCTTCCTTCCTTCCTTCCTCCCTCCCTCCCTTCCTTCCTTCCTTCCTTCCTTTCTTCCTTTCTTCCTTCCTTCCTCCCTATATCCAAGTATTTGTCTGTTAAGTTTAGATGACCCAAATCAGGAAGGTTTGGGTTTTGAGTAGTCTCTGTGGCAAAGATGGGGTATATATCTGCACTTCACTTTTGCCGCTAACAAAACCTACTAGACTGGGTATGTCAGTGGTAAGGTGACATATTGCAGTATGGGACAGCTGGAGGTATAGGGATAACAAGCAATGCTAGGTTTTTTACGCAGATTAATTCCATAGCATTGAGAGTTTTCACAGTCTGCTCTTTCAAAGCCTGCTTTTATCCTCTTCCAGCATAAAGTAAAAGCCCCACTTTCTGCTGAAACAACCTTAGTGATTATCTCTGTCCAGTTATCATTCCCACACTGTGCCTGAGAAGTCTAGCTACATGGGGTTGTGTCATCCAACAGAAAATAGCTTGGAACTTCCCCAGTAAGGCCAGTCTGTGAAAATGCAAATCCCTGTGCTTATTGTTAAGCTAGAACAGACCCTTGAGCACTGGAGGAGCTGGCTTTGTAGTTCTCATAGCTGCCTATCACACGGTCTCTTTTGTTTGTTCAACACGATCTGTTGTGCTCTTCTAATATTTGTTGATACTAATGAGAGAAACTTAAGAAACTAGGCTGGGCATTTAAGTGGTCAGGTGGTTATACTCTGCATCAACAAACAATATTGACTTTTGTAGTTCTCTTTCTAAGCTAGAGTTTTTGTATTTCAGCCTTGGGTGAGGAATGGGATCCAGCAACTGTTGATCAAAGGAGGAGGCAACCATGGAGGAGGACGCAGATGAGACATTAGGTACACCTCAGACTACTTCATAGGAGGAATTTGGGAAAGATAAAATCTTTGGGCTGTTTTGTATACCATCCCTGCTGCAGAACAAGTAGAGACAGTTGCATTCTGTTTGAAGAATTTGCAGTTGGACAGTGTTGTCTCATGCAGTCCTGAAGAACAGTATTATCTTCAAGCATGATGGAGTCAAGAATGGACATACTGTGTTCCTTACCCAGGAGGAGGGCTAATTTCATGGATTATAAGTTACACATTTGATGGTCTGGGGCAGGCTCAAATTGTTTTGGAAGTGAACTTGTTTGTGTCAGGTCAAGGATTATGTTTAATATTTCCTTTGAAACCCCTTTTTGTTTGCTAAGGGTCTCTCAATAATGGGCTTTATTTTTTCACAGCACTGAGAAAAGAACCTGAGGCCTTGTCACGTTTGCATACTAAATGGAACCACACAGTGCACAGAACTGTGAACTTGGAGGCAGGTGGCTTAGACTCTAATTCAGTTTTTTACCTGTTCATCCCATGAACTAGAAAAAAACTCTCTTTCAGCTTCCGCATATCCACCCAAACAATAGTGAGTAATCTCTTCTCTTTATTGGATCAATTTAAGGATTCACAGAGAATGTAAACCATCTTTTGTGATCTGTAACTGCTATAGAAGTGTAATACATATATGACTTCAAGGTGTTGACGCCCTTGTCACTTGGACAATGGACTTCCCCATTCTTTAGCTGGGTCAGATCTGGGGTCAGGAGGGATCCCAATCAGTGTGACTAGAGACCAAGCCTGGACCTGCCTCTGCTGTGTCACCACCCTGTTATGAAAAGGAACCACTTGTAGAGTCTTGCTTGTTTTCCCCAGATTTTTATGATCGGCCGTTAGAGATCTGTTCTGCAGAGGCCATGGAGTATTGACCTGTGTTAGCTGCTTCTTCTGCCTATTTATTTTTTTCAGAGAATTATGTTAGATACTAGATAATCAGAGATTATCATTATTTTTTTTTTAAAGCCTCAGTCTGGTGAAGGAGATAGACCACACAGTAAGCAGAACGATTGTAAGTTGTGATAAGTGCTAGGATGAATGAAGATCAGTTGTGGTGGAAGATAAGTAGGTGGGAGACTTACTTTGGGTAGCTTGAGGCCTCCAATAGCATGGGCCTGAGGGAGAAAAGCCAGCCATGCAGAGATCTGTGAGAAGACCTTTCTAGGCATAGAGAACTTTGTGTGGGAAGGCCCTGGGGCTCAAGGAGTTTTCTAACAGAGAACTGAAAGGTGGCTAAGGTGGAGGGGATGGTGGTCCAGGTGAGCTGAGGGCAGGGGGGGTGGGGTGGGTCGTGGTGGTGGACTGAATTATGTATACTACATTCTGCTTTCGTGTATATCTGCACACCAGAAGAGGGCACCAGATCTCATAATGGACGGTTGTGAGCCACCATGTGGTTTCTGGGAACTGAACTCAGGACCTCTGGAAGAGCAGTCAGTGCTCTTAAGCTCTGAGCCATCTCTCCAGCCCCAGAGTGTGGAATTTTAAGATCACCCCACTGTCTCTGTCTCAAAGTCAAAATACTACCTCAAAACATTTGACTTTCTCATCAAAACTTGGGAGACAGCCTTATCTCTCCCATCTACCTAAATACTGGACTTTATATGCAGTCAACAGAACCTACCAGCACCATTTTCAAATATCTTTGTAAATCCATTCATCTTAATAAATCATCTTAACCTCATAGTTGTCACCCTAGATCAAGCCATTGTCCCCCTTGCTCCAGATACTGTAGAAATTGTCCATGTAGTAGTGTGCTGGTAAAAGCCTAATGGTCATGGTGTTGGGAAAGGCCTAACTTGCAACACTTGCAAGTTTCCTTGGTATCAGTATGCACACTCTGGACTATCTGTCTAACAACATGGTGCTCCTAAACATGGCATCAGGAAAATTTACAAGTCTGATACCCTAATAAACTGGTGACGATATGCCACCGCCTAGGTGTGTCTGCTTCCAGCACACACCCAGAGTAATCTTTTTAAGAGCTACATTCTGATCATCCATTCTCAATGCCATCTGTACATTGTGTTTTGACTTTTGACTTTATCATGAACTGGGTAGAGACAACATGAAATATTATGTTAGCTTTGGTCTTAGGCACCTGTTGAGAATTTTGTACTAAAGCTAGAATCAACAACCAAATTTTAGCTTCAAGTCTTTGAGCAACTAAATTAGGAGGGGAAATTAGCTTCTTTGCAACTCTGGGTGTGGGTACCAGCTTTCCATTACAGTAACAAATACCCGACACAATAAACTTGTAGAAAGGAAGGGCATATTTTGGTTCACAGTTTTGGAGGTTTGACTCCATGATCAGGCAGGCCCAGTAGTTTCAGACCCCTTAGAAATGGCAGATGGCAATGCCAAAAAGCTTGTGGTAGAACAAAACAGCTCACTTCATGGTTGGGAAGCAAGACACAAAGAGACAAGAGAAGCAGGTTCCTGCAATTCTCTTTGACAGCATGCTCCCAATAACCCAAACAGCCCCAACTCAGCTCCACTCTGAAAGGTTCCATCACCTCCAGAGAGTACCAAATTGGGCCTCAAGTCTTTAACAAGAGAGCATTTGGAGAATAACTTAAGATCCAAACTATAGCAACCAGTGTAGGGATGATGAAGCATCCTTAGCTTTTGCTATTGACATTTTGTACTAAATTAGGATGAAGTGTGTTTTGTTAATTATTGAAGTTTTAAAATTTTCATTTTAATCATATTGAGTTGTGATTTTAATTTAAAATGCTTCCAAGTAGTTTATTTTACACATAGTTTTAATCTGAAATATATACAAATGTTCATTTTACAGGTGAACATCTTGTCTTCTACTTTTTAAAATTTTACTTTGTTAGACCCCCAGAAAACTCAGGTATCTGGGGTCCCAGGCCACGACCGCGGTTACCCCAATCACCAGGCAGATTTGAAAGCTTGATGCCAACTGCACGAGGCTTTATTGTAATTTAACGAGCTAACCACATGTTAGCTCGGGTCTTTCATCCACCCCCCATGGTGGATGGCTAGCAAAGACAAGACCTAGGGCCTTCCAAGAGATCTTGTAGGGCAGCGCAAGGGGAGTGTCTAGGGGGACGCACAGACTCACGATTGGTGTGCCTTCAGCCTTGGAGGGCTTGCCCTGTGTTGATTGGTCAACTGGTTGTTATGGGCCCATTGGCCCTCCCAGGGTGGCTGCATCATTGCTGTGTGCTTGTCCGTAAAGTACACCCAGGGTCGTAAAGCATAGCGCCACCAGCTAACTTCTGATTGGTTCCTTGACACGAGGCAGGCATCTGACTTTCTAGTGTCTAGGACAAGGTCAGACAAGCACGTGTTCAGCCATTATGACTGCCGAAAGGGGAGCTGGTCCCTTCAACTTTAAAAAATCTTTTTTTTTTTTTAGGTTAGCATACAAGTCTTGGGTTTTTCATGGGATCTTTATGCTTGTGTCACTGACCTTGTTCTCCATTGTCCCCCCTCCCATAATCCACTGCTCTATTTCCTATCTTCCTTGAGACCTCTTTTTGCCGTCCCATGATATATTCTATTTTTATGTATTTTATTGGAGTGTGTGTGTGTGTGTGTGTGTGTGTGTGTGTGTGTGTGTGTGTGTGTGTGTGTGCCGTGGCCCGGCTTATCTCAGCTTTAACCCACGACAGCCATGAGGTTCTACCTGAGTGGGTATGTGTGTGTGTGCATGCCAGAGTGTGCCTATAGAGGTCAGAGAATAACTTGCAAGAGTCAGTGATCCTCTTTCACCATGTGGGGCCTGGGGGTTGAACTAAGGACATTAGTTTTGTCAAAGCATCTTTACCTGCTAAGCTATCTTGGTGGCCCTAATTTCTAGATTTTCAGGACTTGCTTAAGTGCATTGATAGTTTCCTGTTTCTTAGGATGCCCTATCTGGAATTAGAAGGGGTTGAAAGTTCTTAACACAAATGCTAGATATTTAAAAGTATTAAAATGCTAATGACCCCAATTTGATCATTGCACAGTATACATGTCTACTGAGTTATCACACTGGAAATATGTACAATTATTATGCATAAGCTTACAAGATGATATGTGGAGTTGTTTGGATTTAAAGGTTGGAAGGATAAAGCCTGACAAAAATGAAGAGATGAAAAGGCATCCTAGGAGAACAAAAAGAGACTGAATGCATTTTTGTCATCTAAAGAATGGGAACATCTGATAGATTGCACAAACAGATCTTTGAGTCAGTGAAACCTTTGAATCATTGTGCAAGGCTCCCATTGACTCCACTCAATTACATGCAATATCCTTCCCCACCCCCTGGCTTAACTCTGCTCAAGGGTAGAAATGCAGTTAACACTTCCAACTCTGCTCTCTGCTGAAGGCTGGTTTATCACAGACTTCATGATCATAGTATAAGCAGAAGATTATGATAAAGAGTGACAAGGCCTTCCTCACTCATCTCTATGGTGTGTCATAACCTTTAGCATATGATATATGGTGGCTCAAAAAATGTCATTCCTCTCCTTTCCTAGAGTCAATGCTCAGTTTGTCTCCTTTTTAATGGATCTGAGATAAAGAGAGAGAAAGAGAGAGAGAGAGAGAGAGAGAGAGAGAGAGAGAGAGAGAGAGAATATGTGTGTGTCCTGATAGTATCTATCTAGGCAAGGACAGCTGGTATCAAGTCTCTTTCTTAGCAAGGAAAGTAGAATATCATACACACATACACACACACACACACACACACACACAGAGAGAGAGAGAGAGAGAGAGAGTAGAATATTATGTTACACACACATACACACAGTAGAATATGTTACATACACACACACACATACATACATACATACATACATACACACACACACACTACCACCACCAAATTAATTGTTACTAGTATTTGAATGGTGCTTCATAGCTTCCACAGTATATTCACATCAATTTCCTCTCTTACTTCTTACAACTGTCCTATAAAATTACCCACTGTGTAAGAAAGGGAATGAAAACTCATAAAATGATTTAATTAAAATCAAACCATCGGTGATGGAGCAAGGACATCAGTGTGCTTTATACCAGAAGCAATTCTGGGAGCCATTTCTCCAGTTCCTTATATTTGCCGTGTGGTTAACATAGAGCTAGAAATCTTGCATCAGGTCTGCCAAACACATTGGAATTATCAGAGTTTCATATTTCTCTCAGTTGAGCAACTTTCTGGTAAAAATGTGAAGCCTGTGACTTTGTACTTTTGGGGAATTGATCCATCTATATGGATTGTAACAACACACTTTTCCAATGGTTCTGGGTAAAACAGCATGCTTAACTCTCCTTAGACTTTTGCAGACTCATAAACAACATTAGCAGACTGAGGTATTTATTATCCCTTAGACTAAGATGCTTTTTGTCTGATGCACTAGTGTGCTGACTTATACAAAGAATACTTTTAGTCTTGGAGACTTCAGTCCATAACCATCCCTGTGTAGCTTTGGGGACATGGTGAGGCAGCATATCATGGCAGATATGTGTGGAATAAACAAATCATTTGCATATATGGGCATGAAAGAGAGACAGGAAGAGGGCAGCATCCTTTGAGAGCATGTTTTCATGGACCTAAAATTTCTCATTAGACCTTACCTCTTAAAGATGCCACTTGTCCCAATAGTACCGAGCTGGAGAATAAGCCTTATCACATGGGCCTTTAAAGGGCATTCCAGATCTAAACTATAGCAACTGGTAAGAGGTCTTCAGCTGTAATTACTTAGTTCTTTCAGAATGAGAACATTCTGCTACTCTACTGAACAGTATGTGCCAAGAAGCTGCTTAGCAAACCAAATGGTCTTGGCATAGAAACAACTCCAAATGGGCAGCCAGGGTTCAACACAGAGACAGATCCGACAAACTTTAACATTTGAAACAAACCCAACTCTTTAGACAATAAACTGATATAAACCCCACAGGTATTAGGACACTAAAATTAAATGTGTGATATAAAACAAATAGAAGAACACAAATTAAAAGGAAGGAAGCATATTAAAATATTATAGGGTTTTGAACTGGTCGCCTTCCTAAGTATAAAGATCATTAAAGAAACCATAATGAATAGATTTGAAAGTATGGGAAAAATTAAAATCTGCATATCAGAAAGCAAAAATAAAATTAAGATACAAATACTATCTGAAGCAAAATGTGCCTATAGTAAAATGTTACTCTTTTTGTTTTGGACAGGTTCTCACTCTGAAGCTCTAGAAGACATGGATCTTGCTATATACACCAGGCTGTCCTCAGACTCACAGAGATCCAGCCACCCGTCTCTGCTCCCAAGTTCCGGGATTTAAAGTGTGTGCTGCTATACCGAACCCATATGATTCTTTTTCCAGTATTTATTGTATTTATATGTGCAAGTCTATGTGAGGTTTTGTGCGCCCGTGGGTGTTCACGAATGCATGCACGCATGTGAGTGTGCAGACCGAAGCCAGAAAAGGGCATCTGATTCCTTGGAGCTGAAGTGATGTGTGTTTGTGGAATAGCCAGGTTGCTATGGGCATTCTGGAATCCAAACTCTGGCCCTTAACACTGAGCGCAAGCACTCTTAGCCACTCATCTCCAGCTGTGATATGTTACTCTGAACACAGAAAATATGCAAAAGGCACATTCACAAATAAAGGAATGTGTTGGGACTTGTATTTGGAAGTCCATTCCATCTTGCCACAAGTTCAGAGAGCTCAAAATCACTCCTATTGTCCTTAAGAAATTAGCTTGGAGGGCTGGGGGTGAGGGAAGGGAGAGGGAGAAGGGACTTGAAATAAGCTTGTTCCCTAACCAGAACTAATAAAATAAAATAAAAAAAAGAAATTAGCTTAAGGACTGTAGGATGTTCTGGCCTCATTGGTGAATGGCTCCTAGCTAAATAAGATTGGGCCCGGGTGAGTTTGCACTCATCCTGAAGGGTAGGTGATACATGCAGCTATGAAGCAGCTGATGGCCAAGTAGTGCGTGCAGCTACCGAGTGTCTTTAGGATTAAGGGAAGTAATTGGTATCTGCCCTTCATACATGATAATAGAAGTTTCTGCCCTTGTCCCCACCTTGGGTTGGTTACTTAAGATGATGTATGAATAAACAGAGGCACATTCAGTATGGACTGAAACTGCCCCCTTGACACTATCCTATGTCTCTGTCTTTCCTTTAATGTCTATAGCTAGCCTTCCCTCATCTGAACTCCCCCACTCAGGAATGGACCTGGGGCTGTTCAGCTGGCCCCAACTACAGCCCCACAAACATCAGTCCGTGACAGGAATGCAAGTATCTGGCAAATAGCCTGGGAAATGTTCATCACCCAAAGTCAAAGAAGTGTACCTGAAAGTCACAGAGACATACATTTTTTTTACCTGCTTAGATTGGTTGGGGCGCATACTCAATGGTATATGATGCTGACAGAAGTACAAGTTTTATGGAAATAAAAATTATTTCCTTGAATTTAGCTGGACCTATATGAAGACTATTAGCTTTAAAAAATGTTTTTCTTCTTAGGCTGGGGGATATACCATGCTCCTGCTTTGGAAAATTAGTTTTAAACAGGTTTATTTTAAGCAAATTTTCTCTGAATCAGTTTTTGTTTAATATAATTCCAAGTACACTGACAAAGTGATTTAAACTTTCCTTTTATGTTCTGAGTTAGCTGTTTTCTTGGGTTGCATAAAATTTTATGATGGGAGAGATAAGAAATAAAGTCAAGAAGACTGAAATAGAAGCAACAGGTAGGAAAGCTGTATACAGTGGAATGTTAATTTGTATTATTATAAAGCCACACACACTAAGGATGGTTCCAAATGGAGTATGCAGATGGGACAGACAGATGAAACTTAGTATATGTGAGAATCTAGTATGTGATTGAAATGGAGAAAAAATTATCCAAAAGATAATATTGGATTTCTTGACAACCTGGGAAATAAAAAGAAGAGATTAAAAAAAAAACCCTAAGGATAATTCTTTTTAATAGAAAGGCTAACATCTCTGGTACTGTAAGGAAAGGGAGATAGAAGAGATGGTCCCCCATGAGCACACAAGAGGTTCAGTAAAATATCTTAGTAGCTGGATTGGTAAGACTCCAAAGACAGCTGTGTGATTTGATCTAGGACCTGGAGAGAAGGGTAGCATGGAGAATCAAGAATGGAGGGTACATTGTCACCTGCAAGGTTATCTGGAGCTCTATAGTTGGGCTGGTATCATGGGAGCCTTTAGGGATGGCCCCAGGACCCATCAATATTCTGCAGGAGGAGATAGTCTGGGACCTCTTGGATCCATGGGGCATCTTACCTTCCAATGGTTGCCTTTGTAATTAGGGTAGGAGCCAAATGAGGACTAAGGCATGGCTTTCTCTTTAAATTTGGGGGCTTTTCTTCTTGATATTGAAAGACTTAAAAATTAGCAAAGAAATATAGCCCAGAAACTGACCAAGGCTACTACTATGACTTAGTGCCTGGAATTTACCAGCCTCCAGCAATTACTCCCTTATAAGGCCATAAGATAACTGGGTACCAAGAATTCCCAGATGGCCACCCTCCCCGAGGGGCTCATGAAGGAAACAGATTGCCCCACCGGCCAATGTGTCAATAATTAACAATTAAGGGTCCCTATGAAACAAAGAGATAGCTACCATTTACTCAGGCAAGATAAGCATATCCTGAGGTCCGCAGGTTTTACAACTGGTGGGTCAGGAGGCCATCTGATTCCTAGCCCTCTCCTCAAGACAAAGGGCCTCCTAGGAACCCATGACTCTGGTCATGCCCCTCTCTAAGCTTGTGGTTTTTCCCTTTAAAAATGCCTGTGCCTGGGGGACAGGGCTGCTCTCTAGCCTGCATGCTGAGAAAGCCTGTTTGTACAAACTTCCACCTTTCATTAAAGCCTCTTGCTGTTTGCATCAAATTTCCACCTCCTCATGGTGATTGGGGTGGCCGCAGTCCTGGGAAAAGATACTGGAGGCCTGAGCTTCCAGGGGGTTTTACAATATGACACTTTTGTCCACAGGGGAAGCATGCCCTGGAAGGACCTGTTGGGATGTCTCCTCCTGTAATCACCTCCATTAGAGCCAGGATTTCATGGTGTCTTATTATTATTATTTTTTTCTTTTCCTTTTTCATGTCTTGACTAATAGACTGGCCAAGTGGTCTAAATTCTTGCCTGGCTCATGAAGCAGCTCTGTAATGTTCTACAAATGTCTGATGACAATTGGGTGATAAAATTGTCCTTTAGAAGTGCTTTCTTCTCCATGGATTTTGGAGTTACTTAGTATGTTTTCATGTTGCCCCCCTCAGTCTCTAAAACTGATGGCAGGCTCATAGTTCCTCTGAATTACAGTAGCTTGTTGAGCCTAATTGGGGGACTTTATTTTGGTCCTTTAAAATGTAGCATGTGAAATAGCATTCTCACGTCGTTCTCTATTCTCTATTGTCCCAAACAAGTCTTTAATTTGAGAGGGACATGGCTTATTGTCACATTGGAGCAGAAAGAGTGAGGGACTTGTAAGTCTGTTAGGGAATTGTCATTGCTAGTTTGACTTCCTGTTCATTTACCCTCTGTTTTGCTATGGAGGTCAAGGCTTGATGCAGAATAAACACAATATTCTGGCAAGAACTGTACTTATTGGTCAGGGTTTACAATGAAACTGCCTAGCTCCCTTTTAATATCTTTAAGCTCAATAAAAGAGAAAGGCTGGTGAACATAGATGGTCACTTCTCTGACCCGACTCAGAGTTCCATTCCAGACATGGGTGAAGATATGTTTCCATTCTGTTCAGGGACAGAGAGTATGTTAGACATGAGAGAAGAGGTCTGTGCATTGACCTAGGCCATGACTAGTCCTTGAAATTTGGCCACATCAAGTCCTCCTTAGAATCTCATAGTCCCCATCTCTTGGCTTAGCCGTTTAAACTCCTTCTCTGGTTCCCCATATTATGGGGGTGGAAATCTCCTGTTTACCTGTATGAGAGAGGGTTGCCTTGTCTTTCAGGCCTCTTATCTATATTTCCTGACTCATAATATAGAAATAGTAATATGATATAATTATTATAATTATAAGAATTATACATATGGAAAATAATATAGAAAAGAGGGCTGCCTGGGGACTCACCCATGCTAATGTGGTTGGGGATTTCCCTTGGCTGGCAAGAAGTGTCTGGACATGGGAGAATAAACAGTTGTTCCTGATTCCTGCCTCCTGATTCTCAGCCAGTTATAACATTTGAGAGTGTGTTAAAATCCCAGATCAGCCTTCTCAGGTGTAATGAGGGCCCAAGTGCAGGGTTGGCTGTCTAGAGGTTTGGGTTCTTTCCAGTAGCAAACAAAGAATTTGACACGTAGGACAACTGGACAAATGAAGACTCATAGTAAGTGAAAGTAGGAATTTATTGAAGCAATCAGAAAGCAACCCTCAGGATTGGTGGGATCTTCAGATCAGGTTGATTGCCAAGTGGTCTCTTGGTTGGACATATTGAGCTCCTATGTCTTCCTCTCTTTTGATCTTCCTTTCTTCTTCCTCAGTCCCCTCTTTCCCTCTCTCACTACTTTATCTTCTCTGCCCCAATGGGCCTTGGCTGATGTCAGAGGAAGATGTCTGTGTTTGGCCACATTCTGTAGATGGCTGCATTTCACTTGTGGGGACATTATCTATTTCCTTCCTACCTCTTGTCTAAGTGCCTGTTCCTGGCAAACTCCTTATACTAGCACAATTACATTCACATGCAGAGTAGGACTGATTTCCTGCAATGAACAGCTCCTTAGTGTCTTCACTCTAGCACATCCATTTAAATAGGATCTTACTTTCTATGTGCACGTGTTTTCAAAGGATTTGTTAGGGAATGAAACACCAAGTTAATTCTTCTAACAAGCATCAGGAGGAGAGCAAAAGGAAGAAATACAGACAGAGTGAAACCCAAAGCTTTCTCCCCTGGAATGCTTTTTCATCTTTGCTGTCATTCTCTGTGATGACCCCTCTTAACCTATAAGGCTATTAAACATACCTCACAAGAGGTTAACAAGTTTATAGTGTCCACATTTGCTGCAGAGAAAGTGGAAGATGTTATAAAAGTTATTTACACTAAACACCCAAATTTAAGAAAAATATGTGAGGCACCAGATCCAGCTAACAAAGCAGCTTTGAATTCTGAAACTCAACCTTGCAAAGACACACACACACACACACACACACACACACACACACACGAGAGAGAGAGAGAGAGAGAGAGAGAGAGAGAGAGAGAGAGAGAGAGAGAAACATACACACACATGCACACAGACATGCACACTTGAGCACATTAGTGCCTTTTGGGGTAAATACAGATCACTGAAACACTGCATGGCTGTTCTTTCTCTCTACTGCATGTCAGGTTTCCTGGCAACAACCTTCTTAAACGAGAAGCTTTTCTTCTCCGAGAAAAATGTAAGGAGGATTAGAGGGTGTTAGAAAAATTCTATATTTCATATCTGGCAATAACAATGAAAATCCCCAGAGTTCACTCTGTCCTTCAATCCCCAGATACTTATGTTGTACTAACTAAGGTGCCAGGCACAGTGTGAGGTGCTGTGAGTCCCAGGTGAAGGCATGGTTGATCCTTCTAGAAGCTTCTGGATGTGGTACCTGTGCTTGGTATTGGATGTGAGTCCCTTGAGGATGTTTCTCTTCCAGGTCTTGTTCCCAAGAGTCAGGGGGATGGAGTAGAGCATTCATA